CACTGTAGTAATGCTACCACATTTGAGTAAGGCAATCCTACTCAAATGTGGTCCATGAACCAGTGCCAGTCCACAGATTGTTTCTTGCTGGTCCATGACAAGAACTGATGACAGATGGTACCTGCATTTATCATGCTGAGCGTTTTGTAAGGTATATAATTGTTGAATCACTATGTTATGCACCTGAAACTAATGTAATATTGCATACCAACTGTACTTTAATAAAAAAAGCAATTAAGAGTATGTGTTTTGAAACCTTATCAATTTGACAGGGCAATTTTATGGCTATTGTACATAATCATAAAAGAATTGGGCTTGTATTTTGTATGTTTCTGTTTTATTTCATTTTTCTAGTAATTTATTTTTATTGTGTTTCATAAAAGTGTTGGTACACAATGGATATGGGGGAAAATGGTCCTTCCCCACAAATGGTTTGTAAAGCACTGCTGTGATAAATAGGAAGGCAGTATAGGACACGGACCATGCCCTCAAGGGACTCTCATTCTAGGGGCGGAAAGGTATCACAGGGGTTCTGAGAAATGAATGCCACTATTTCATGTGCTTCAATTTCTTTATGGAACAGAGGGCTATACAGAGCTGGGTGGACTTGCAGATTAGAGACCTGCAAATTCTCAGAAACACTCCCTAGAGAAACTTTCATATTTGCCCCCTTAGAATACTCACAGCTCTAATCTAGATAGACTCAGACTTCTCTTAAGTAGAAGGTAATCTGATAAGGGATTTTTGAAAAGTAAAATTTCTCATGAAAAATTATGCTGAGCCCAATTTAAGAACTATAAAGACTGGGTTTTTGCAAATCATAGACTTTCTAGTATATGCTCACAGGTTTATGGGGTCTTTCTTTAGCAGGCACTAAGGCAGTAAGCTACCCAACTGGCTCTTTAATCTAAATGCTATCTCTGACAGGCTGTTACATTTTTTCAATATTATTTTTTTAAGATACGTAATTGAATAGGTAATATACTTTCATGGCATGAAATTGAGAAAGTATGCAGCTCTACATCTTGCTTTTTTCATAGAATTTTACACGTAAGTACATAAAGAGCTTTGTCTTTGGGTAGATGTACCATTATTTATTTGATCTGTCTTCTATTGATGGACATCTGATTGTTTCTCATTTTTTGTTATTACAAATAATGCTATGTGAATAACCTTGTACACATAACAGTTTATACCTATGCAAATATAACTGGAGGAGAAATGGAATTTTGGAATCAAAGTTTCATATATTTGTAATTTTTATACTTATTGCAAAATTGCCCTCAATTGACTAATTGCACTCCCACCAGCAATTTATGAGAGGACTCCCCCCTTCAGCTTTGTCAACATGATGTATTATCAGTATTTTTATATATTACCAATAGTATCACACTAGAATTTCTCCAGTCAGGGGGTTAACTACTATTATTGGTATAGAAGCCATTTGTTAATTTTGATACTCAGCTGTCCAGGTACAGGGAAATTACAACTGATCCTAGGTCCCTCTATTTTCAGAATTCCTAAACTACTGTCTCAAGAGATCTCCTGAGCTAAAGAACTTTGTTCATTTCCTTTTATTCTGCTCATTTCTCTAGAAGTATCCCAGGCATTTCTTGGACACCCAAGATGTTTTATTTTAAAACTAGTATCTAGGGGCTAACATCATGCCTGGAACTATAGTAAGGACTTAAATAAAATGTAGAACGAATAAATGAGAAAAATACTAGAAACATCAACTTACTACTTTACATGGCTATGTAGTCATGTAATCTATTTCAGTCTGTATTTGCAATGACAATCTCAGAACTAAAGATAAAGCTGCTTCAGACAGGACAGTCTAGGTACCACCATGATCTATTGCTCTGGAAATTTTCCTTTTTGCAAAATTAACTCTAAAGTGCTACCTTTTATTATACAGAGAAATTCACTATTTTATTCTTTCTTTATAGTTAACATTTAAGATTACGTTGTGTTTACTCTTTGCTTTGTAAGATCTGAAATGACTTTTGACCAAAAGTTTGTTGACCACCATAGGGGGAGGATAGGGAATTTTTTTCCCAAAGTTTTCCAAGGAAGAAGAGCAGGCGACTCATTTATGTTGATCTGTTTACACTCTTTTGGCCAGATTCATTTGTGACCATGTGCACGCACTTGTGGGACACCAGGCTAAGGTTCTCATGGGGAAGAGAACAGAGATAAAAGAATCTATAACTCTTGACTAGATTATTAACTTTGTCTCATTGGTGCCACATTCTAACCACTTCACTTGGGAAGGTATTGTACAGTCATTTATTATTCACCATATATTATTCACCATATAAATATTTCCTGCAAAACTTAGAGATCCAAAGGCTGAAGGAGATGTCATCATTATCATTATCAATTCTAGTTAACATTTATTGAGTGTTTTAATCATTTTGTTTTGCATTTATTAGCACACTTTATCCTTTTATCCTTTTATCCCATTTTACAAATAAGAAAACTGAAGGAGACTGAAATTAGGTAACTTGAATGAGGTGACACACATAGTAAGTATCCCAGTCTGGTTGGTTCTGAGCCCAGACAGTCTGGCTCCAGAGTCCCTGTCATAACTATATTGTTTTGCAATTCGCAAGAGATAAAATTCTCTTTAGAAATGTACTCTTTAAGGTCCCCCAACAGGAGCCCTCCAAACAGTCAGTGGTCAGTGGCGACACTAAGTGGTAATCTGGGTGTAGTGCATCTTCATCTTCCATAAATTACTCGTGCCCAAAGCTTTCCCAAATTTACACATATTCTAAAAAAGCCAATACGCTCTCTCTACAGTGGTAACTTCATGACAAGTCGGCTTCCAACCTATTGCCATCCTTCAACTCCTCTTTTTCTTGTCTCAGAGGAACAGGCATCTTTTCCAAGGTTACCTTGTGTTTTGCATCTCATTTCTCTATTTCCCCCCATATTTTGCTCCATTATTTATCCCCTCCTTTTCTTGCCTCTTCAATTTCCATCTCACTGGTGGCTCTTCCTGCTTAATCTGAAAATAAGCTACAGTTTCTTCTATACTGAAGTGACAAAAATAAGCAAACTAACCTCTTTCCTTGAACAATCACTTTTGATTCACCTTCTTAAGGAAGAGCTCCAATAAAGGTATTCCCTTGCTCAACAGCCTTAATTTTTTTTCAGTCACTTTACAAATTAAGTATAAATCTCAGCCCAAAATTCAGGATGCTCCAGAACTGGGCCTCAGTTTGCCTTCTGGTTATATCTCCTACAACTTCCCTTTCTTACCCTAAGCTTCAACCACACAGGACTACTCACAGGACTTTGTATGTGATTTCCTTTACACAAGATGTTACCTCCACTTGGATTTACCTTTATCAGAGGACTCAGTGTAAACTTCCCTGGATTCTTTCTATTACTTTTGGCTATCTCCTACCCATACATGCCTGAAGGCAAGGAATAAATGTTACCAGTGAGATAGTAAAAATTTGCTTGGGATGAGAAAGCAAAAATCAGCCCATTCATTGGACTGGAATAACAGACACAGGTAAAGCCAGCTGCAAGTTTAACAAGAATCAATATTTCTCTAAAGACACACTGCAGCTGTAGAGTGATAACAACCCCCTTTATTTGAGTGACCACCACTACTTTTTTATTCACTTAGAAACTTTTTTTCTCTAGTATCATAGATTATTAGATACTTTGCTGCTTAAAATCATATCAGTGAGAATAAAGCGTCACACATTTGTCTGGAAGACATAAATTTCTCAGACACAGAGAAGCAGCCTCGATTTCCAATCCAGGTGCAGAGGTTCAAATGAGGGTATCTGGATACAGCATTCCACATCTATCTTTACTTTGTGGTTCCCAAGGAAACAAGATTCTGGTTTCACTTCACAGTGTAGTCTTGATGTTGGCCCCTCCACACAGCCCTAATTTGAGTTTACCAAAACAATGCTTCATTTATAATTTACCTAAACTCTACCATTCCCTTAAATCCTATAGTGCCTTTTTCTTTGTTTGGTGAGATGCCCCACGGTTTACCTGGTGTGCAGTCTTCCTTATTGCAATAGGTCAAAAAGCCTGACTTTTCAGATTACAGATTTGTTCTTGGTGGCCTTACCCTGACTGGGCTAAGATACAGGTTCTGTACTCTTAGCCACTTAGCTTGTCCAAAGTAGGAATTCAAAAATTGTTCACTAAAGTAGACTAGGAATTAGAATATTGGGGTTCTAGTTAGATTATGTGGATTGGGTATATGGATTCCAGCTTCATTTCTGCTAATAACTAATTAGCAGGATCATTTTAAATAAGTCAACGTTCCCCATTGGCCTGTTTTCTCGTAAGACGAGGGGCTGTTTCTTCCAATCCCAGGGCAAGGACTTCGACATCAGGTAGACCTAGGATTCAATATCGGTTCTCCCACTTACTAAAACCTGTGATTTTTGCTTTTCTGAGCCTCCGTTTTGTAATTATTAGAGCGGAGATAATACTGAAAACTGCTGTGTAGATTTTCCAGTGTTGCAATGAGGATCAAGGTGGTCGCTATACGCCTATTTGTATTATGTGAGCTCGGACAAATTATTAACCTTTCTGTGCCTCTGTTTCATCAATAAAAGTGGAGAAACAGTAGTATGCACCGCAAGGAGCTTACTGTGGGCATTAAATGAGATGAAAAAAGTAGAGGGCTTGGAACTGCCTGGCACGTAATTAGAGGCTCAAAATACGTGAGCTAATGTAATTAGTATTAGATATCTACTACTAACTATTCTGTGGGCCAGAATCTCAGGATGAACAGTTTCACTCAAAGGACAAAACTAAAAACCTGTACCGTGAGCCCGAAACACAAAAATAAAACATTTATTTTCCCAGAACAATTAACGCACCCAGAACTGGGTTAGGACCCGCCCCGTCCTCATTAAATATGGCAGCGCGCAGGGCCGACCTACTGCGCTTGCGTACGCGGAAACTCCTCCCACGCCTCCCTCACCGCGGCTCCTTACGTCCTGTCGCCTTCCCGGTCCGCGTCACCCTAGTCCCGGCTCAGCCGACGTGCTGGGAGATGGCTGGCCAGGGCGTGCACGCGCAGACGTAAGCTGTGCTTGGCCGATACTTGCTAGGCGCCTGTCACATGAGCCTCGCGCCCGCACCTCTCCCCCTACTCCCTGCTGGGCTGTGAATGAAGCTCTGCTGGCTACGTGGGGCGCTAGCTCAATTTGGTGTCTGGACGCCAGAGCTGACTGAGCGCTCGGCCGGCCGGCGGCGGACTCGGGCTCCGCCGCTCCTGACCTCGGCGACAGGTAAAGACAGATGGGCTGTCTCTTTCCTAACAGGTCCTATGCGGGCCGCCGCTTCCCGGCCCACCTTCGGAGCACCTCCTGGGCGCAGCGACACAGGGGAAGCGCTCCCTGCTAGCTCGGCCCCCCGGAGATGGGGGGTACCCCTTGCCCAGCTGCCACAGACTGGCACTCGGAGGAGTCAGATCGGCTACTTCTAGCCAGTGCAGGGCGGCATCTTCCCCGGAGCCCAGCCCTGTTCCCCAGCAAGGGTCTCTGCACTGTCCCAGCGAAGTTTTCTCGCGGAGCGGTGCCAAGCCCGCCCCTCTTTTGAACGGGGGAAGTTAGCTGCAGGCGTCCTCTTCCCAAGACTGGGGCAGTGTGGCTCTGGCCGGCAAAGCTTTGTCGAGGCCCCTTTCTTCTCCCTCCTGGTCTGTAGTCTGAGGTTCCTGTGGTTCTTAGCGAATAGAAGTCCAAATTCGGAAAAGTAATTGTGAGTTTTCCTTTTCCCACTTAATGCAGGAAGCTGTTTCTCTCCAGTTTCCAGGCTTGCCCTTGAGCGCCTTTGCCTCGGAGGGGAGAGCTTTACCTTTACATTGATGCGCGTTTGCCTTTATTACTATTTCAGAGCAAATCAGTTTCCTGGAGTGCCAAGTGAAGTTGTTCATGTGCCCGTGTGATAACGTCAGTGTAAGGTACCCTAAATAAGTGAGATAAATCCAGAAGTGTGGAGCATAAAACGCCGGTAAGAATCTGCTTTATATAAACGTCATAATTTTATTAGCAACTGCCAGGGTTTGACTTAAGAGATGTTACATTTCGCCTGGTCCTACCAGACGCAGATCGGTACTTTTTAACTGCACGCGAAATAAGGGGGAAAAAAGGCAAACCCAAACAGACTGTTACAGGTTCCAGATAAATCATTGGAGCACTTTTTTCCTGGTGAATTCACCCTGGGACTTTGTGAGTTCCTAGTTTTCTTGGACTCACGAACCGTTCCTTAACCAAAGCATTGTTTCTTCTCTGTTGATGTTTTTGGGACTACTGGACACATACATATTTTTGTCTTAAAAAAAAAAGTCATTAAAGAAGGCCAAAATGACGACTCTCAAGTTGGTGTTAAGTCTTCAGTATGTGCGCATTCGTGCTTTCACTTTGCTGGTGGAGGTGTTGCTTCTATAAAAACTATGGAAACAGCAATCCACTTTGATGTTCACCCGGTCGAAAGGGTGAAGACTTTTTCTTAGAAAAATCAGATTGGCTTGCATGCTAAATAAGGAAGATCAATTTATTAAGAACTTTTAAATAGACCAAAGCACGGTGTTTGCTATTCTAAAGCTCTGAATCAAACAAAGTAGACCTTTCATTTTTTCTTCTTCCATTCCTAATTCCTTTCCTATCCTTAGCATAGTGTTGTCCTAAGACTGAATGTGATGTTTTAAATGTAGGAGTTAGCTGAATTAATTTGGTTTTGTTCCATTTTTCTTTTTCTTTGGTTCTTTCTCCTGATTATAAAAGTAATCTATGCTCCCTATAGGACATTGGCAAAGTTTGGGAAAGTAGGATGAAGTGAAGAGGAAGAACTATGACAGGGCATAGCTCTTAATTTTCATTATGCGTCCTTTCTCTATTTTCAAACTTGAAGTATGCACAAGATTTGCTCTCCTTTCTACTTTTTTCTGCATTTTTTAATGCAAAGTTGGGTTTTTGGGCAGTTGGGGAGGGCACTAGATATTATGCTGTTTTTCATTCCCTGAAGAGTGAACTTAATGATAGGAAAGACACTTGACAGTCATCTCATTCAACCACCCATCCTTTGAGATTCTGAAACCCATTTACTGAAGATCCAGTGATTCATATCGAATTGAACAGCATGCAGCAGCAATATTAATTGACTCTAGATTTTCCCATTTTATCTTTCTTATCTCTGGGGGAAAAACTTGACACTATGTGCATATCTTTGAAAGAGAAGTTCAGATTGGGACAGGAGATACTTTTCAAGGATTTGAAATTTTTTTTTCATTTAGGTATTCATTTTTCTGTTTACATTTTCAGGTTTGGGATTTGAGCATCTCACAGAAAGTAAGATCACGCATCTCACAGAAAGTAAGATTTGAGCATCTCACAGAAACACACATATCACAGAAAGTAAGATCACAGCTGCTGTTACCTCTATATCCCAGTCAAGCCCCCCCCCCCACCGCTACAAAACTGGGGAACTCTGGGAGACTCTGAGCCTGAGACCCCAACGTGGCAAAGGATAGGATAAAGATGGCCATGTGGCAGGGTAAGAAATTAGCACTTATTCCTGTAGCTGGTTTTTCTTCATTCTCTATCCTCCACCCCAAGCCAGTGGCAGGCAGCCAGCTGTTTCGTTAATTTAATTCTTTGTCTCTACAAGGACAAAATATATTAGTTGAAAAGAAGTTGCTCCTTTCTAGAAGTTCAAATTATTTTATAGAAGTTGTGTGTGTGTGTATGTTTGGGGAATAGCAGGAAAGTGTAGTGCCAGAAGCATTTTCAAAGAACTCTCTTCATTTGAACATGTGCTTTGTGGGGGTTATATGAGAGGAAACAGGATATTTTTTTCATATTTGTATTTCTCATTTGTTTCCAGCAAATTTCTATCATAAGGTTCTCAAAGGTGAGGGAGACAGATGTCAGCACCTTCCTGGCTTCCTCTTCCCAATAAAGACTTGGAAGCATATTTAATGTTACAATTTTTATATTTGTTAAAAGAAGGCAAATGCCTTTTTAAATACTATGAACTACCTGAGAGCAAAGCTCAACCATCTCTTGCCTGATGGATTATACCTCTTCTGAACCTGTGAATTCTTATCACATACCAAGTTTTTTTTATTTGTGGTGAGGTTGAAGATTGTGCCTTATGGGAGAGTATCAGAATCTCCAGGCGTGGGTGGGATTTTTATGTTTATCAAAAGGGAGTGTGGGTTTAAGAAATGATAGGCAAACACTACCCAAATTGGTTTATGACCCACAAAAGGTTAAGGACCACTGAGATGAAGTAGAAGGAAAGAACTCAAATATCTGTAAGTATTCAACAAGTAGGTTTGTTGGTGACCTTTCTTTTCAAATTGTCTCCTGTTGGTTATGGCTTCAAGTGTATAGGCACACAAATATAACAAGTATTTTAGATGTATGAGGTTTGTCAATTTGAAGAGATTTGTTGAAGTGGCATTTGGCCTGTATACCTGCTTTGACTCACACAATGGGCATTTATTAGGAGCAGTCTGGATATTGTTTAAATCCTGAGATGGTGGTTCATCCAATAACTAGAATCCACAGACAAATGAGACACAGGACCCTAGAGAGTTCCTTGTTTTATGGGAAAGACAGACATAAACAAATCATTGTGTTAGGTTGAATAAGTATTATAACAGGGAGAAGTGCAAAGTGCCATGGAAGCCCAGAGAACAGGGTAATGAACTCTTTTGAGTTTTGAGCTGGTATAAAAAAAAAAAAGACTGGGAGTTTGCTAGATGGGCGAATAAGAGAATTGCATTCTGGGGAGACAGAGAAGCACTGTTTGGGAACTTCCAAGTTGCTCTGGTTGCCTCATGTGAGATGTGTGGGGAATGACCCCAGATGAAGCAGGGAAGGTAGTCAGATGCCAGATAGTAAAGAACCTTGTATGTTCTAGGAAGGATTTTATACTTTATCTGAAATACAAAGATTCTAAACAGGGAAGTAACAATCAGATTTTGTTTTAGAAAGATTACTTTGGCAGCAGTGTTAAGGTGAGGCTGGAGCTGGAGAGAAAGAAAGCCAAGAGCCAGTTGGGAAGTTTCTGGTGTAGTGGTTTAGGGATGAGATGGTGAGGGTCTGAGCAGAAGCAGGGGCAGCAAGGGTAGAACAGAAGGATGAATTCCAGAAATGTTCTGTGACTGGATGTGGGGGGATCTGAGTCTAGATTGCCACCAAATTTGGGTGGCTGTGGCCGGTGGTGCCAATCACTGAAATGGGGAATATGGGAAGAGGAGAGAAGGGCATGGGGATGGTGGGAAGTTAGTGTACCCAGTTTGGTTTGAGACACCTGTGGGCTGTCATGTCAGGTAGATGATTAAAAGTATGGAACTGGAGTTTGTGCAGGTGGGGATCTAGAGTTTTGTTCCTAATGATGCGTAAAGAGTGTGTGTTATTTTTTTCTCTTTCTGTTTAATGGAGATGTCATTAGTAGTTAATGATTTATTTGTTTTATAATATAAACATTTTAATGGATGACCATTCTTAACACAATGTCCTGTTTTTTTAATAAATAATTCATTTTGCTAACTCAGGCTTTGAACCTGACCTGCTTAAAATTATGTTGTAGTAAACTTAATTTTTCTAGAACTACTGAAGGGGAGAGTATTCCATATAAGTAACTGTAACTTAATCCTTGTGCAACCTCTGAAATGACAACATAGTACAATGGTTGTTGGGGTGGCAGTATGGTAGTAGTTAAAAGTATGGGTCTGGGTTCAACTCTATTGATTCCATCACTTGGTAGCTATGAGACCTTGGGCAAGTCCCTTAACCTGTGTATCAGTTTCCTCCTTTGTAAAATGGGGATAATAATAGAACTCACCTTATAGAGTTGTTCTGAAGAATAAGTTAATATATGCAAAGCACTTGGAACATAGTATTATATGTGTGTGCCATTATTATTGGCAGTAATACATTTAGATATTGTTTAGCACATAATAAGTGCTCAGTAAAATTTAGCAATAACTGTTGCTGCTACTATGACTATTACTACTGCTACTACTACTACTGCTATTATTATCATTATTATTTTGCTAGAGCCTGGGGTGAGACCGGGACCCTGTTCTGTAGAGGTAATTTCAAGTTATTCTTCGAAGCTCTGCCCTGTGGTAATCTGTTTGGGTCTTTAGGTAGAGGTTTAGATCTGAAGAGATCCTTAGAAAACATCTAGCCCAATTCCTAGAGGTTAAGTGACATGCCCATGCTCAAACAGATTGACAATAGTGACAGGACTAAAACCCAGCTCTCCTGATTCCCTATTCCAGTTTTCTTCCCATGGGCTCATGGAAGAGGGAATGTGTGGGTCTATCCTCAGCTCAAGGAAGCTCTGAGTCACACTCTGGAGCTAGCTGAGGAACTCTAACAGCTAGATGAAGCCAAGTCTGCTTAGTTTCTCAGTAAACACTGTCTAGTTCCCCCATGGAGAATTTGATCAGAATTCGCTTACTGCTTAAACATGGCCAACATCATTATTTTGATTTCATTTGATATAGCTCTTTAATACATTTCCTGGCCACTTTAAGCACCATGTACTGGACATAATTTAATATTTTTGCTAACTGAAGGTCATCATTAATAACATCAATTTTATTGCTGTAATGGTCAAGAAAATATTGATGAGAAGACTATCCAGTTTGGGGTGGAATGAAGTTGGAGACTTGTGTTAGGTGTTACTTATTTATTCAGTTAATGTTTATTAAGCACCAGGCATGCACCAGGCACTCTGTTGAGCCCTAGAGATGTACTGGTCAGTGCAACAGGTATGGTCTCTGCTCTCATGGAGCTTCCCAACTAGGAAAAGGTAGCATTTCAAATTCATGAAATGATTTGTTTAACAAATGTGCTGAAGCAATTTGGAAAAAATGATACCAACATAAATTTAGAAGTATTAAAAGAGTTTTTATTAGTAAAGAATGGGGTGAATCCCCCTATGTTTATCGCTGCACTGTTTACAATAGCCAAGTATGGAAGCAACCTAAATGTCCATCAGTAGATGAACATATAAAGAAGATGTGGTACATATACACAATGGAATATTATGCAGCCATAAGAAAAAAACAGATCCTACCATTCGCAACAACATGGATGGAGCTAGAGGGTATTATGCTCAGTGAAATAAGCCAAGCGGAGAAGGACAAGTACCAAATGATTTCACTCATATGTAGAGTATAAGAACAAAGGGGAACTGAAGGAACAAAACAGCATCAGAATCACAGAACCCAAGAATGGACTAATAGTTACCAAAGGGAAAGGGACTGGAGATGATGGGTGGGAAGGGAGGGATAAGGGCGGGGAAAAAGAAAGAGAGCATTACGATTAGCATGTATAGTGCGTGCGGGGCACGGGGAGGCCTGCGCAACACAGAGAAGACAAGTAGTGATTTTACAGCATCTTACTATGCAGATGGACAGTGACTGTGAAGGGGTATGTGGGGGGAGGCACTTGCTGAAGGGGGGAACCTAGTAAACATAATGTTCTTTCTGTAATTGTAGATTAATGATACCAAAAAAAAAAAAAAACAAAGAATGGGGTGAATCAGAGTTGCCCTTGGTGCTTTAAAAAATATTCCTGCTCAGGTCTCATTCCCCCAAATTGTGATTCAGTCTAAAGACCTGAGCATTTAAAGGAGCTCTTTAAGAAATTCTGATGTGTAATCCTGTTTGGGAACTGCTGCATTAAAGAACTGAAAGTTTAAAAAAAAAAAAGAGAGATGGTAAAGAAGCCCAAATATAGGAGAATATATAATCTTGGGGTAAGGAAGATATTTGTATGCATAACATCAAAGGTAAACTTATCAAGAAAAATATTAATATGATCAACTGTATGAAAATTTAAAATATCTCTACAAAACCATAAATGAAGTTAATGAGAAAACTAGGGGTAATCGCAACAAGACTCACTACCTTTAATAAACAAAGACTTATAGCGCAATAAGCAAAACATGATTATTTAACTAGAAAAATGTGCAAAGGATGAGAATAGGAAAATACATAAAAGAAGAAATCCAAATGTCCAACCAACATGAAAAAATGTTCTGTTTCGGTAGTAGTCAAGGAAAGGAGAATTAAAATGGTATACTATTTTCTCCAGTATAATTTGCAAAGATTAAAAAGGAATGATGAAACTCAGTGTTGGCAAGCACATGAGGGAGCAGGCATTTTCATACACTTTTGGTGGGAATGTCAGTTTGGCAATATTTATCAAAAGATTTAAAAAGCATGTTTTCCTTTTGACCCAGCAATCCCTTTTCTTGGAATTTATCCTAAGGAAATAATTAAGGATGTGCACAAAGATGTGTCGATGTGTCAATAAGGATATTAATTGCAGCATATTCTATAGTGGGAGAAAAGAATACCGCTTGCATTCTGATATAGTGATACAATGGAATACTGTAGCTATTAAAAACGATAATGTAGAGTTTCATTTATCAACATGGTTCATGATATGATGTTAAATGGGTGGTGGTCGGGGAAGCAGATCCAAACTTATCAATAGTTAAAATTCTGGGCTCTGGGCTTACAG